TTCAGTGGAAAGATTTAAATGCAGGTAATATTTTACAACGTCTCCCTGCCACTACTTTGGTCATCTTTCTCATGTGTTTGGTGGGAAAGGGCGGGTAAAGGATCTGCAAGTAATAATAATAAATTTATTAAATTTGTGACATATCAATCTATCTTCTGTGATGCATGTGCTAACTTAAGATTCGATGTTGAAAACGCATAGTCTCTTAAAATGCTAATCCTATTACACCGAAGTGTACACAGTACTAAGAGCGGTAGAATCATTACATTGTTTAGTTTCGGTCATTCTATTATCTACGTCAATGCGCATCTTGAGTGCGTTATGATACATAGAACATATTAAGCCTGACTTGTACGTTTTCGGTATTATTCTGCAGCAATGAATCAGATGTGTTGGCTTAGGGCAAAGCAGCACTGAGCAACAACTCGAACCCCTGATCTTAGCGTTGTAAGTCCGTAAACTTTCCCACGGGGACTACCACAAAGAAGTCTCTTATTGTAAAGACATCGATAACAAATCCAATATGATCAAAGAAATATTAATTTTCAAGGACTCTACTAACCGAACAAAAGTTTATCCTCAACCAAACATACTTGCCTTGTAATGTGATATAACCGTCTCCTTCTAATGCGAATAAATAACAGTTTTTAGATGTTTACTTCAGTAGACTGCGATCTGAATTACTGCATGTTTTACAGTATTAAATATTGTAGAGCGTTACAAACAAATGGAAACAAGGAAAAAAAAACTATTTTTGGAGTCTCCATTTCTGTTCTTTTTTTCCGATTTTCTAGTGTTAACAATAAAGTACTTAAAGTAAAGTCTAGTCCTTTTACTGGTGACAATAAATTCGGAATTACTCACTAAAGATGTTGTTCTATCTGTTTACAAAATGGTTCAAAAATGGCGCTCGTAAGTCCCGATCTTACGTCATGTTTGGTTTTACTAACTGTCTCTTGTTAATTTGTTACGATAATTGGTTAGGATGTCATTAACTTTTTAAGAAGGTGTAGAAGTGATCCTGGAAATCCTGGTTTGAAACAGCGACAGATGTTGTAACACTTTGGCGTTATCATGAATGTATATAATTATAAAATCACATAAACAATTATTACTCCTTTGCCATCTCCAGTTTGAAATAAAGCGCGTGGGGGGGGGGGGGTTAACATCTTCTTGTTCTATCTGTCTTAGTTCCAATAATTACATCTGCAGCTTCAGTGAGCGTGTACGTTTTTGTTTTGTTTTTCAAGTGTTTTACATAATTGCGTGATTTTCCTTACATTCAAATGAGAGACCTGTGTCATCAACTACGTATATTTGTGTGCACTTTGTTGGCAAATAAAAACCAAGTAGCAAAAGACACTTCGTTCACAACTTTTGCAACAACTTCATTACTGTTTTTATGCATTTCACATGCCATTGTAGACGCGCGTTTTTCGCTCATATTCGACCCTAATGCTACTCGTGCGATCAATTAATGTTATGCATATCAATAATAAAGTTTTGCTGCTGAAGAGAAATGTTTTAAGAACAGATGACTAAGCACAAAGCCTTGAGATAGTTTAAATACATTGTGAACAAGCCTAATTAGTGATAGAAATGTTGAAGCGTCTATATTGAAGTATAGATGCTGACCATTTGTAGCTAGAAACTTCTGGACTGTGATTATGACGATAATCACTGGATTTTGAGCATGAAGTATAACCAAGAGATATCCAGTAAACTGTCAATATGAAGTATGGTCAGGAGATGACAATTAAACTGTGAGTATGAAGTGCAACCAGGAGATAATCATTAAAGTGTGAGCATGAAGTACAACCAGGAGATAACTATTAAACTGTCAGTAAGAATTATGAATAGGAGATAACCATGAAACTGTCAGTATGAAGTACAACCAAGAGATAACAAATAAATTGTGAGTATGAAGTATGACCAGGAGATATCCACTAAATTGAGAATATAAAATACAACCAGGATATAACCACTAAACTGTAAGTATGAAATATAACCAGGAGATAACCATTAAAGTGTGAGCGTGAAGTACAACCAGGAGATAACCATTAAACTGTGAGTATGAAGTATAACCAGGAGATAACCATTGAACTGTGAGTATGAAATACAACCAGGATATAACCACTATACTGTGAGAATGAAGTACAACCAAGGTATAACCACTGAACTGTGAGTATGAAATATTACCAAGAGATAAATAAACTATAAGTGTGAAGTACAACCAGAATATAACAAATATACTGTGACTATGAAGTATGACCAGAAAATAACAACTAAACTGAGAATATAAAGTACAACCAGGAGATAACCATTGAACTATGAGTATGGAGCATGACCAGAAGGTAACCACTAAACTGTGAATATGAAGTACATCCAGGAGATAACAAATAAACTATGAGTATGAAGTATGAACAGGAAATAACTTCAAACTGTAAATATGAAGTATAACTAGGAGATAAGGCACGAATACATCCCGAAGCTATCACCTAAATATATGCTAGAGCAACAACATTAAGGGACCTTTCTTGAAATTGCTTTACATTATTAACCTGGTGGTTATTTCCTCATTATTATTCATAAACACAGTCTAGATCTGATGACTATCTTCTGATTATAGTTCATACACACAGTTCAGTGATTATCGTAACAAGTACAATTCAGTAGTTATCTACTAATACGTCATAATCACAGCCCTGTGGATATCTCCTGGTTGTACATCATAATCACGGTTCTGTGGTTATCTTTTGGTTGTACGTCATAATAAGAATTTAGTAATTATCTCTTGGTTATATGTTATAATCGTAATTCAGTGGTTATATACAGGCTGTATGTCATACTGACAGTTCAGTAATTATTTTCTGGTTATATGTTATAATCACAGTTTGGTGGTTATCTGCTGATCATACTTCATGCTCACAGTTTAGTTGTTATCTACTGGTTGTACTTCATAATCACAGTTTAATGCTCATGTTCTGGTTGTACTTCAAACACACAGTTTAGAGGAATTATTTCTACAAATTTATCCTCGTAAAATCTCGACGTTTGAAAGCTAATCTAGTTCTTGAAATAAAAAAAGCAGTTTAGTAAAATAAAAAAATGTTAATTTCTTAATATTTGAGCTGAATGTTAATAGGATCTTTAACACCTTCACGTTTAGATCAGAAGCAACTATAGATTTATTAAACTAGCTTATAATGAAACAAGTTACGCAGATGTAGTTCTCTATATGATGATGCACGTGTAATTGTGAAATATAACTGGGAGTTTTTACTTCTTCTGATGCGTCCCGGGGGCATAATTTGAAGGTTGAACATCACACACTTGTTGTATATAACCAATACTTTACCCACGATAGTTCAGAAAAAACAATTTTCTCTTCACAGACAGAATTGAATATTATCTTATGCCACTGTACGACACTAAAGCAAACACTGTAGTTTTGAATATCATATCAAGGCATTTTGACGAGGGAAAGAATTATATGTCTTGATACTTTAAGTTTTGAATGTTTTCTCAAAATACATTATGACCACCAAGGTATAAAAAAAAGCAGTTTACTAAAATAAATATGATACATAAAATCATACGAACATTTTGTAGGAAATCTGTGATTTTTTAAT